GTTGTGGTTAGCACTGTTTTGCAGAAAGAGTTGGATTCTGCTTCATTTTCATTAGTGGCTGAGGAGGTAATGTTTGAACTCTTTGCTGTTTAGTCCATGTTGTTTTTATCTTTGTTATTTATTCATTAAGATAGCATTCAAATGGAACTTCTGAAAAGTTACACAATTCAACAAAGAACGATTTGTGCATAGCTAATCTAATTCGAGGCAAGGTATTACTTTTGAAGGAAAAGAAGGTAGAAAATAACAAAAACGTTAACAACTCTTTCAGCTAATAAAGGAACATATACTAGATGCCTTTTCTTGGAATATTCATAGCATCTTCATGGTCAGAAATCACACACAGCACCTTAGGAGCTCAAACTGCAATTTATTCTGGGGATAATGGCCTCAACCTAAGTGGTTACAACATCACTAGTGTAGTCCCACAAAGTGGTGTCTTGGGAGGATAGAGTGTACACCAACCTTACCCTTACCTCAGAGGTAGAGAGACTGTTTCTGATAGGCATCAACCTAAGTGATGAATTGATATAGAATTGATATATGGACTTCTGCATATTCTTCCTGGGGCACAATATGAATGAATCAATGTGATAGCGGAAAGATGGTCATGGACCTCATGGTATCATCTTTTAACATTTCATGAAATTAAAGCAATTGAAAGGCTCTCCTTTTTTAACTTCTCTCCTCCATTTCCCTTGAAACATATCCAGCTAATACTTTTGATTTGATGAGCTTCTGTACTCCTAATAGCTGATGATTTCTTAAAGGAAAACCCCAGAGAGCTCATAGACAAACAAAGTTTACAGGGTTTGATATCTTAGGAAAGTTCTTGTCATTGTCATTACCAGTCTGCCTCTGTTTTATGTGATGTTTCCTGTTCTCTTAAATCATTTCTGCTTTGCAGTTTGTTATTTATCTCTGCATATTCATTTCCCCATTTCAGTGGAAAATGTATGTTCTTTGCATCAAGCTAAAGGATGGGAGTTCTAAATCTAAGTTTCTCTAGGACTCTGGAGACCTTCGTAAGGAAGAGGGAAAAGAAACATTGCAGCGTATCATGAAGCTTGTCAATGAAACACTTGCTAGTGATGGAACATATGGTAATGCTCCATTATCTGAAGAAGATGTCCTTGCTGCCATTGATAGTGGTAGATCTGAAGGGGGTCCTTCTGGTCAGCATTGGGTGTTGGATCCTATTGATGGTACTAAAGGGTGAGTGGAAATAAGATTTTGCATGTCAGATTTAGCGATAAATAACAGAAATTATATATAAGGTAAATTAGTTTAAATTATATATTTCTTGATATGATTGATTAACCTTATTATAATTGGTAAATTATCTTAAAATAGGCTACCATAGGCCAAAATGTGAATTAAGTTCGTGGTAGCTTTCCTTCTCCTCACCCTACCATGATTTTTGTTACTTGTACATTTGATATTGCCAAACTATGCTTACGCTACCCAGTGAATTGTTGTCGTTACCATTTATTGTCAAACTCAACCAATTACCTGGATGTACCACCTTCTTGTTGATATAGAAATTCTCACATGTTTGGTTTTTCTATGTCTACATCGTAACTTTTGCTTCTTTGATTTCAGGAAAGTTTTTACAAACATATTTATGAGTCTCTCAAAAGTTCTTATCTTTCTGCAGGTTTCTGAGGGGAGATCAATATGCAATTGCACTGGGATTGCTAGATGAAGGGAAGATGGTTTTGGGCGTACCTGTCTGTCCGAATCTTTCATTATCTTCTCTTGCCTCCAACAATCTATAAGATGATCAAGAAAAAGTTGGTTGTTGTTTTTATGCCCAAGTTGGTTCTGGAACTTATATGCAGTCTCTTGATGGCTCTATGCCAATAAAGGTTCATGTTCTATTATTTTGTAATTTTCAGTAACAACTTCAAATTTTGTATCTCTAATCAGCTGATAGTTGCTCTACTGCCTTCAAGTGCATGTAACTAATTTAGACAACCCTGAAGAGGCATTTTTTTTTTGAATCTTTTGAAGCAGCAAATTCTTTGCACGACCTATCTAGCTTGATAGCAAAGGTATGAGTCCTCTTTTAACATTTTTTTTTTGTTTTTTATTCTCTTAATATGTGTGACTTCTCTTATTCCATCTTAATGCATACGTGAATGAGGTCCCTATTCTTCTTCAATAAATAGAAACTTGGTGTCGGAGCGCCCCCTATTCGAATAGATAGCCAGGCAAAGTACGGTGCTTTGTCCCGTAGAGATGCAATATATCTACGGTTTCCTTATAAAGGCTACCGTGAGAAGATATAGAATCATGGGGTAGGATATCTTGTTATTGCAGGTCCATAATATGTTTTCTGCTTTCTAAATTAATATTTCTCTTTTGCTTCACTTGGATGATCATTTCTCATTAGTATTCATGCTCGGAGAATCTATGATTTTAATGAAGAGTTAAGAATAAGGAATTTGATTTGCAACTGCTGGTACTTTATGATAACAAGAAGTTTATACTATTAGTACCCTCAACCAAAGAAGAGAACCTTGACCCCAGAGATGGCAGACCTAGAAAAACACAATATTCTAACAACAATAATTACAAAGGTATCACGCATAAAAGCAATTTTCTGCGCCTTGCTCGAGAGATTAGGTTAAGAGTCTCCCTCTCAAAGTTTCAACTCATTGTTCATATGAGAGATCAACTTCCATGCTTTCTCTTGACTTTACGAATACCATTGAATACTGGAAAGCTATATTTTTTTATGTATCTGGGCATAAAGCCCTTATTAGCTATATGATTGATGTTTCATTTGATGTTAATGACACAAAGATATCCTTCCATCTATCTATCACACCCCTTGGAGATGTTGTACACATAATTATTAGATGGATGCTCAAATTCCTTTTAAGCAATTTACTCACTTGGCAACACTCATTAGTATTCAAGAATTTTTTGAACTGTAAAATCTCATCATTATGGTTGGAGATATATTGCCTTAGACTTGGGGAGTTTGGAGTAGAGGGAAGTGGGGATGTTACGGAGGAAAAGGCAACAACTTTTTATACATTTATATTTGTTGATTATGATATTTTTTTTCTAATTTTTAATTTTATTTTTAATGTGTAGGAAAATGTGGGTGGTCAAATTTGAATGGAGGCCACAAGTCAATTCAATCTATTGAAGTGGATGATGAAGAGTGTTTGAACTATTATGATGTTTGAATACATTTGATTTTGTGAAATTCATTGCTAGTACAGATCTTTAAAATTTTGCTTTATAAGTATGTGTAGTACAAGACATATTTTTTAATTTTATTGAATCTATACATTTGAATTATTTATTAGTTAAGGTAGTGCTTGAGATCATTTATATATATATGTGCGTGTGTGTATGATTGATAAATATATTTAAACCAAAATTATTATTTTTCAATTAAAAATTGTGGCAATAAAAATTCTAGACAACATTGCCACACTTTAAAAATGTGGCTATAGGAATGTCAATTATGTGGCTTATTAATTTTAATTGTGGCATGTGTATTAGAAAAGATTACACTTTATAAATGTTGTCATAGAGGAAGTATAAAAGGCAATGCTTTAGAAGCATGGCCAATAACTAAGCAAAGATCATGCTTTAAAGTGCAATTTTATTAAATGAAGTGTTGCTAATGAGGTACTACAAAAGCGTAGACTTTGTACCTCATAGGAAACGCTTTTTAAACGTAGCTATTATGGAAACACTTGAAAAGCGTGGCATAAAGTCAAAAGTTACGCCTCTTTAGACCACCCCCATGAAAGCGTTGCCTAAAGTCAAAAAGTGTGGCCTTTGATCAAAGACCACACTTTTTGCTAGTTTAGGCCACACTTTACAGGGGTGACTAAAAGCCTAAAATATTGTAGTGTTTTTTTTTATCTTTTTATCTTTTATCTTTCTATCTTATTGGCCACATTATAACCATTTTGTGTCTTTTTTTATCTTTTTATCTTGTCGGACACATTATGGCTGTTCTAGTAAGAAAGAGACCCTTATATAATGCATCCCCAAAACAAGATAAAAAGATTTTTCCATTATTACTATTATTACTACTATTACTACTACTATTACTACTATTATTACTATCACTATTATTATTACCACTATTACTATTATTATTACCAC